CCATCCGAAGCACAACAGACAACTTGTGAAGGGTGCTTTCGAGTGATGAAATCGCGCTGGTACCCCCACATTAGAGCCCCAAACACCCCAGAGGCCACTTCGAGTGAAGCAGACAGTGGATGAGACAGAGTGTGATTCTCGAACCACCAGCACACACGCCCGGAAGATTGGAGCGAACAAGAGATGCTCTTCTGCAGATCCATGCGCAGAACTCAACCTCACCAAGGCTGAGACTCGGAAAGAGACGAGCTGCTGCACACGCCTGAGTCTTGAGACACTCTGTCCTGTGCACAGGCGCCTCTTTTCTGTCGGCCCAAATGTCTTGGCAACACGTTGCAACGATAAAAGAGAGCAAAAGGTCTCGCCGGACGCGGGCTACACTCGAAACGGCCCGGTGTGATGGCGTGTCAATGATGGACGAAGGCTCAGGGTGCAGCCCCACTGCTTCGGGTCACTCCCGTCCTAGAGCGGATGAGTCGCCCAGCAACAGCATCCTGCACCCTTTTGGCAAGTGGGTGTAACTGGCCTGCTTCCATACCCCAGTTATGACGTCAGTTGTATGCATCTCTGTTGGCAAATGTCTCTACATACAGTTCACTCGTGTGTACTCAAGTGTGCACGTGTGCAGTGATACACGTACATAGACACATAGGCATAGATCAGCTTCATATAATTTCTTATATTTATACGAAAAAAGTAGATAGGTACGCATACAAATATATGGAATTATATGAAACACATACTTGTTTGTTTTACAGCCAAGCCAAAGATTGGGGAGTCAATAAAATTAACGAAACAACAAAAATCCTGAAAAAAAGAACAAGCTTAGGAAATCAGCAAAAACTACCTCTATCTAATGAAAATAATTATGGAGAGAAAGAGGCAACAGGTCAAACAACCACTTATTTGGAGGTTGTCATATGAACGGACTCAGGAACATTACATACACGCAACCTGCATGCAAGAGCACACCAGAACACGCGTTAACATTGAAGGATCAAGACAAGATAATCGGTTCGACCACAGCCTCATCCTCTTCATGTATGTGATCGTGTAAAGTTGTATTTTTGATGTGAGTATGCTTGAAAATTGTAACCATCACCAACTCCACCGCCCGTCCATCAATCATCTTAAACGACTTGGGGTGATCAAATTCCTATTCAAGATTTACCGATAGTTGTGAAAGATGCTCACGTGTAAAATAAATTAATTTCGCCGATCTGAATGGAGAATACATGGTTTCTTCTTCGACAATTAGACTATGAATGTGGGTTGGAAGAGGCCTGGCTTGCCTTGAAAGTTGCATCTACCCTGAGATCCATTCGTTCCCATGGCTATGGCGGAGCGGTGGCATGTCATTACTTAAAGTTCAAGATCCAACTTCAAGTCCCATTGGGAGTGCTGATGAGACAAAGAGGAGAGGAGTAAACTTTGAGACATTTTGGGAGGCAGGGCTGAGTGAACGCTTATTCAAGCGTGAAGTGTTCAACCCACTACGGAATGTCCGATTTAAATGGTAGAATTAAGTTTAAGGAGTAAGTAGGATTTCAGCTTTCTTGATTTAGTATTACTGCGAATTTCTATAAATGATGGTTGTAAGTACTTATAGATTTTTCGTAAGTTAGTAGGGTTTCGAGACTACCAGTAAATCAGTGTAATGAG